AGATAGAAGAAAAAGGTGCAGGAGGACAGAGGGGGAAATTATAGTTAATATTGATTAGTTTATTTCCTGACATATAAGTTGTTAATTAAGAAGATACAACATACACGCCATATTATTTAAAAAACGGCTAGAAATAGGTATGTGGAGAAGAATCTATTAGAATACCAGGAAGGCTTTCATTAGAGAAGATGAACAATTGATCAATTTTTTGTGTTATAACAAATCCTGATGAATTGCTGTAAATACAACATTTTAGCAAGTATTTTTAATTGATTAAAAGGCCGCCTACAGTACAATAGACATAAACAAATTAATAGAAATGCTAAAAGAACTCCAAGCATCCGACAAAATAGTAAGATTGGTAAAAATGATAAATAGAAAAACTATTTGTGCTGTACACAATGTGCTGTATACAATATTGGAGTCTCAAGAAGTATTCGAGAATCGAGAGAAGAATTCGAAGTGAAAAAAGATGTTTGCCAAGGAGACCCGTTGTCTATCTTAATATTCATATAGTTCAAAAAAAATTGTCGGGGTTATTGGGATAAATAATAGATGGTACTTTTTTCTACAAAGAGCTTCAACGCTTAGCGTACTCTGATCAGGTGTTTCTTATTGCAAGAAATGGAAAAGAACTAGCGTTTATGGTAAAAAAAAAAGTGAATGGGGAAAGCTCTAAAATGGAGCTGCAAGTTATTAATAAATCCAAGTACATCAAAATCTCAAGCAAAAAAAGAAACAAACACCAGGAGCTTCTTCAAATTAGAGGTACGGGATGGATCAGTTGTAGAATGTTAGAAGATGGACGAATTGATACAGAGGGAAGAGAGTTTGGCCTAAACATAAACCGTGCAAAAACAAAACACATGGTGTTTAGCCGTTTAGCACATCAAGATGCACGATTATATGTTGATGGTCATATAATTCAAAGAGTGTCCAGTTTTAAATATCTTGGTTGCCATATTACTGAACAACTAGATCCAGATCAAGAGATAAAATGTAGAATCGAGATAGCCCGCACGACATATTTAAAAATGAGGTCATTCTTCCGTAATGATAACTTGCAACTTCAACTTCAAAAGCGCATGGTTAAATGCTACATTTGGTCAGTAATCTTACACGATGTCGAAGTATGGACATTACAAAATATCCACCATTAATCGTCTGGAGGCCTTTGAAATGTGGCTGCACAAACGTATACTAAAAATTCCATGGACGGCTATGCTGAAAAATATGGCAGTCTTCAGAGATCAAATGCGGCTCGCGAGCTGCTTGATAACATCAAATGTAGAAAGATGGCCTATTTTGGACACGTAGTAAGGGGAGAACGATATAATATTCCTCAACTTATTATGATGGGTAAAATCGAAGGACGCAGAGGAATTGGTAGAAAGCAGGCCTCTTGGTTAAAGAATATCAGGGAGTAGACCGGAATAAAGAAAGCTGAGCAACTATTTAGAATAGCTTGAGACAGAGACAGTTTCGCCATGTTAATCGCCAACGTCAAGGAGACTTGATAGGGCACGTTAAGAAGAAGAAGGACGAATACTATGTACTTAGGTAATTAGATACTGTAAGAAAATACCTAAAACCAATCTGATACTGACTAAGAGCAACAGATATGTTGGGATCATGAACAAAATATTTAAAGCCAAAGATATGTTTTGTAATACAAAAATAAGATTATGAGACTCACAATGCTATACGCTGTCGAGACATGGACTATGAACAAAACCATAACGAGTATATTGAAAGCATAGGAAAGAAAGATACTTGATGAAAGTTTTGCAATATGTCTGATGGAAAGGAAGTAGAGCTTAAATGGAAAAAATAAACTAATGTAAAAATGTACCAAATATATGTTAACCCTCCAATAATAAACATTGAACATCTAGAAAGAATACAAGGTAATGGTCAAGTCAAAAATATTAGTTGAAAAGTACCTGATTTCAAATCAAAGACAGAAAGTCAAAGAAAGAAATAGAGAGATGCAGTGATGGAAGATATCAAAGAAGTGGGAATAATAAATTAAAGCTAACAGCTAAGAACAGAAAACAATAAAAGTTATCCATCCCGAAATGGGCGTAAAAGGCCTGTTAACACTATAGAAACATACAGAGTGGCCCAAAAGTCTGGAAACGGCCAATTATCTCGTAAATTGCTAGCTATAATTGTACAAAATTTGAGGTACACCTATTTTGGAATACGGAGATTCCATATTTGATATTTGCAATGTTGCCAGATTTTCCGTTTCTCTTATATTATTAGTAACTTTGGTTTTTTAAATGCATCACCCTGTATATTTAGTCATTATTGGAATCTCCTATTCAATACGAGTTCAACCATATGTAACACTTATGATTTTATGTAGTCTGAAAGGTCTTAAATACATAAAACACAAGTCTGGCAACGCCTAATTGTTTCAATAAATTTTTTAATACTAATTATTTTCAACTACATGAAAACGTAACAATTGATAGATTAGAACATTTTTTAACAATAGTTACGTTATTAAGTGTTCAAAATGTGCTCAATTTATGAGTTGACAGTACCCTAATCGATGGTAGAATGCGTCTTTCACATTTCTCCATGATGGTCTAGAAACAATTCGAGATTCATTGATAATTCGTTGCCTTAGCGCTGCAAGACTTGCTGGTTAAGTTTTGTAAACTGAATTTTTCAAGTATCCTAATAAAAATAATCTTTATGATTGAAATCGGGTGAACGTGAAGGCCATTCAATTCTACCTTGTCTACCAATTTATCGTCCGGGAAATATCTCCTCTAAATAACGCCGAACATTTACACCAACTATCTGACGTTAAATTTCTTTCGATAAAAAATGGCCCAATTGACTGAGTACCTACTATACCTGACGATACATTTAATTTTTGTGGTCTTTGAGTATGGTTTTCACGCATTCAGTGTGAATTTGCGTCACTCCAGTACCTTAAATTGTGTCGATTTACACTTCCACACAGTGTAAAGATTGCTTCATCGGAAAACATATTCTGTTAACGAAATTTTAATAATTTTCAATTTTATCCATCATTACCTCAGTAAACTCTAATCTAAGATCGAAGTCATCTTCACTTAATTCTTGCAATAAGTTTATTTTGTATGGTTTAAACTTATTTTTACGTAATATACGTAAGACTGAAGAACGACCTACATCATGTACTTGTGCAACCCTGCCTGAGGATGTATGTGGATCTTCAACAAAACTTTTCTCTTTCCATCTATCTTTACCTTCTTCAGATTTCTCAAATCGCTTTACAGTTTTTTGTACCGTCGCCTTATGAATAGGAGAACGGTTTAGAGAACGGCATTTTAGAGAAGCAATTTAAATTGCAGAACTTTTCGAAACACAACTACTGTCAGTTTTCGTTTATAATGTAAATCGTGAACAAATGTCAATATCACAGCATTCTACATTTAAATATTTAAATTTATTAAAATCTACATATTTTGCACTGTTTTATGTATTTAAGACCTTCCAGACTACATACAATCATAAGTGTTACATATTTTTGAACTCGTATTGAATAGTTGAACTCGTATGAAATTCACACTGAATGCGTGAAAACCATACCAGACCACAAAAATTAAATGTATGATCAGGTATAGTAGGTACTTAGTCAATTGGGTCATTTTTTATCGAAGGAAATTTAACGTCAGATAGTTGGTGTAAATGTTCGGCGTTATTTAGATGAGATATTTTCCGTACTTATGTACGGATTATTGGTAGACAAGGTAGAATTGAATGGCCTCCACGTTCACCCGATTTCAATCCTAAAGATTATTTTTATTAGGGATACTTGAAAAATTCAGTTTACAAACTTAACCAGCCAAGTCTTGCAGAGCAAAGGCAACGAATTATCGATTAATCTCAAATAATTTCTAGACAATCATGGAGAAATGTGGTAGACGCATTCTACCATCGATTAGGGTACTGTCAACTCACAAATTGAGCACATTTTGAACACTTAATAACGTAACTATTGTTAAAAAATGGTCTAATCTATCAATTGTTACGTTTTAATGTAGTTGAAAATAATTAGTATCAAAAAATTTATTGAAACAATTAGGCGTTGGCAGACTTCTGTTTTATGTATTTAAGACCTTCCAGACTATAAAAAATCATAAGTGTTACATATAGTTGAACTCGTATTGAATAGAAGATTCTAATAATGACTGAATATACAGGGTGATGCATTTGAAAAACCAAAGTTACTAATAATATCAGAGAAACGGCAAATCTGGCAACATTGCAAATATCAAATATGGAATCTCCGTATCCCAAAATAGGTGTACCTCAAATTTTGTACAATTATAACTAGCAATTTACGAGATAATTGGCCGTTTCCAAACTTTTGGGCCCCTCTGTATATCTCTCTTGCGTACAATAAGTGGATAGTGTTCTTTAATTTGATCTAGTCGAATGTCTTCTTAAGGTCTACGAAATATATTTTTTATAAAGTAAGGCAAGAAACATAAGGTTTATGATATGTTTAGTTACCGTATTTGTTGGTCATGTCGGCAGGTATCATGCTCTTCTTTTAACACGTTCATCTCAGTCCTCCAAACTTAGTCAGATTTACAACGGTATTACTATTGTGTCCCTTATTGATGGAATTTCTTACAATGTACTCTAAAAAACAGATATTATAGTCTAAGTAAGTAATGGCGAACCTATGAAACATTTTTCAGTTCTGACAGACAAGCTTATTTTTAATGACATGCATCTTCAAAGATAAAATTTTTTATAATTCTAATAATTTTCAAAATAGAGATATTTTGAAACTAATCAGTATAACTGATATGTAAAATATGTATTCAAAGTAAAGTTTAACCGCTTGTCGCTAATGCACTTGAATATTTGCACTTTGTTTATTATCTTAATCCATTCGTTACCTGTTTTGGAAATTGAACAGTTTTATATGCAAAATTTTCTTTCTTTGTATATCACATCACATCAATACAATAGCTTTTTTTTATTAGGCAAGCCTCTTGCCAGATGCTATATTTCATAGTAACTGGAGGACTTTGGAGGATGAGGAATTAAGAAAAGATTTTGTATTTTTATTACAAAATTCTCAAAGAATACCACAGTTTAATGCGTATAATGTCTACGATATGCATATGATGTCCTTTATTAAGGTAAGTTTACTGGTATTTCAGGATACGACGGTTTTCTTGATAAATTAATTGTAACTTTTAGGTTATAAAAGTAGCTTTCTCATTTTATACGATGTTATCAAAACTAAAATAGGAAAAGACGGATATGAAACGAATAAGCACTTTTCGGTTATTGGGTTGCCTTTGTAATTGTTTAATAAAGATTATTCAACGCTATTATGTTTTATTTCATTAATAAAGACCTCATATTTATTTAACTATTAGGGAGAGTAGTACACAATGAGACATGGTACACAATAAGACATTCTAATTTTTTTTTTAAATTTACCGCCAAGTTTCAATTCTGCCACCAACATTATCTCAGAAATAGTCAAACATTAAATAAAAATAAAACATAAAATAAAACAATAGTATCATCTGCGAATTCAAGTTCTTTTATCTCCCCTCATGAGTTTAAAGGATTTCCAAAAACAGAAAAGAGAAAAGGTGGAAAGGCAAGGAAAACTAATAAGAGTGCAATTTTAACTAACACACCTGACTTGGATCAGTTAAAACTACAAGCAACAACCAAAAAAAAATGACTCCTTGGAATAATAAACGAATTAGGGTCAAATAGGTAAAGAAATAATAAATAAGACTTACTCACAATCAATTTAATTTAACTATCAGACGACCGGTTTCGCTTTCTACAATATGCAAAGCATCCTCAGGTCTCGATACAAAGTTAAACGAATGCTGAAAGAATGAAATATTTTTTATTAGTGTTCTGAGCTGTTGGACGTGAATCCCTGTCCTGGCATTTGGTTTTCACCTCTGGCTGCGTTAAGTAGTTGAGTTACTGTGACCAAATGACAATCTTGGTAGTTAGTATTCGCCTCTGGTTGCGTTGAGTAACTGAGTTACCGTTGCTAACTACCCATCTTCCTGTACTCAATGTACTCAATGTATAAACAATTGTGTGAACATGATGGTACCTTACCTGTATCTTCAATCACTTATAAGCGGATTTTTTTGTAATAATTACAACTGTTCTTTCTTAAAAAAGATCAATACCAGCTCTGCACACAATACAAGACTAATGATGAAGGAAGGAAAAAGCAATTACAGACGAAATATGAAGAACACGTAGCTCGAAAAGAGGATTGATACATAGCAAAAGCAAGAGTCAAAGCCAGAGCTATGAAAGCGGCCAATTTTGTATGTGCTACATTTGAATTCAATGTGTGGTTCAAATACCGAGTAGCAACGTTAGTCCAATGTACTACATTCGAAAAATTTGCACTTATAATTTGACAGTGTATGAGCTAGCACCGCCAAATAATGCGTTTTGTTAGAGCTGGACAGAGCTTCATGGAAAAATAGGTAACTTAGAAATTGGCACCTGCCTCTTTACTTATATTAATGAGCTTCCCACTGGTATAAATGCATTATCAGTGTTTTCTGACACTTGCAGTGGACATCCACATGTGCAGCTCTGCCTAAAAAACAAAAAGCAAGGAAATGTGAAGACCATCGAACTGTATCCCTATACTCAATATGGTTTTAGGAAAGGTATAGGCACCAGAGAAGCAATAATGGGATTGACACTAATGGCAGAAAGGTATCTCGAGGTTCAAAAACAGCTGCATGTGTGCTTTGTCGAATATAGAAAGGCCTTCGACTGCATTAGACACGAAAAATTGATTAAGGTGCTAAAAGAAGTAGGGCTGGACGGAAACGACATAGCTATAATAAGCAATACATACTGGAACCACACAGGATGTGTTCGAATAGACAACGGAAATACCAATTATGTAAACATAGAACGAGGAGTGCGCCAAGGGTGCATTCTGTTCCCTCTTCTATTTAATGTCTATGCCGAAAATATCATCAGAGCTTCTCTTGAAGGTGGCCTTGGGGGTGCCAGAGTCAAAGGAATCATCATTAACAATGTAAGATATGCCGATGACACCGTAGTATTAGCAGAAACAGAAGACCAACTAAAAATATTGATGAACATACTATCAGAAGAAAGTCACAGACTAGGTTTGGATATTAATCTTTCCAAAAACCAAAATCATGGTATTCCACAAGAACCCCCATAAACAAATTACACCCAACATACAAATCAATGGTATCACCCGTCAAAGCTCCCGAAGCTTCATATACCTGGGCAGAGAGCTAAACAGTCAGCTAGACAACTCAAAAGAAATTAGAAGACGTATTGAAATAACAAGATCTGGCTTCATGAACATGCGTAAAATGCTCTGTAACCCCAAGCTATCAATCACAATAAGGTTAAGAACACTAAAGTGTTATGTGTGGTCTCTACTACTATTATGACTGTGAGACCTGGACATTAAAACAGTATGACGTCAACAAACTGAACTCATTCGAAATGGATGTACCGCCGAATGTTAAGAATAAGCTATACCAGCAAAACTACAAATGAAGAGGTACTGGAAATAATAAACACATGACCTCATCTGATTAATACAATCAAAATTAGAAAGACGTCATATCTAGGACACATAATGCGCCATAAGGAATTTGAGCAGCTCCAGGTAATATTAGAAGGCAAAATTGAGGGTAAAAGGGGTATAGGAAGAAAGAAGAAATCCTGGCTCCGAAACATCAGAGATTGGACTCACAACAACAGGAAATGACTTAATCCATCAAGCCTAGAACAAAGAGAAATTTGCCATATTGATAGCCAACCTCAATATAGAAGGCACTTAGGAGGAGGAGGAGGCAGTGGACAAAACAGAAACCAAAATGTTAGCGCTTTGTTACTCTATTTAGTTCAAAAAATCACAATTTGATGATTATAGAGGAAAAGTTTCTGGAAAGTGAACAAAGCTACATGAAAGTGGACAGTATGCACAGTGCCATTAAACGAGCCAAGAAGTATGTTCCTGTGTATACAATGCATGATTGGTTAACAATATTTCGCATGGCCAGAACAACATCATCAATAAAAACCGTTTGTTGTGCAGAAACTCAATATAAAGATTTTCTTGATTTAGAAGGCCTTTCTAAAAAAAACGAGAGACATGAAAAACGAAAAGGTAAACTGGTTAAAAGTTAAGTGTTTTCGATACCACAAGGCTAAACCAGGAATCCTTGAGTATAGGTATGATCATATCTCAGAATAAAAAGAGATAAACATTTTTGGGAGAAGTCGAAAAATACCTAATTTGAAAGAAATAACGCTTAAGGACGCGTATAAGATGCGACGTGTAAGTCACAAAAAAACAAGATTTATTGAAGTTCAGATGAATTTCGCTTATATTATTATAATTTACCATCCTCCGAGGATATTCAAGACAATATTCTTGAACCAAGAGGACCAGACGCTGACTCAGATCACTACATGGTGGGTATCAAAATTAAGCAACTGATACCAGAAAACAAAAACAAAATAAATAAAAAGAAATGTATACATAACCCAATTCGATTAGCAACAAAAAAAGAGCAAGAAATATACTAGGAAACAATGGAAAGAGAACTAAAAAAGATACAAATAGAAGAGCAAACTGAGAACAAATGGGAAAACATAAAGCAAATAATGAACAGAGCAGCAAAAGAATGTGATAAACAAGAGAATAAAAAGATGAAAGACTGGTTCGACATAGAGTGCCAAAAAGAAATAGAACTAAGAAAATCATTAAGGATGGAAATGATCACGAAAGAAACAATAGAGACAAAGAATAAATATAGAGAGCAAAGACAAAAAGTAAAGAGGGTGCTGAGAGAAAAGAAGAGAAAACACATAGAAAATAAGCTAAAGGAAATAGAAGATAATTACAGAAATAAAAAAATAAAAAACCTGTATCAAGGTGTAGGAAATGAAAAAAAAAGGTTTCCAACAAAAACCCATATTCGTTAAAAACAAAGCAGGAAATAATATAAGCGGGGAAGCAGAAATAGTCGAAAGATGGAAAGAGTATTTTGATGAATTACTAAATGGTAATAATAAGTCAAACCAAAGAGAATATATGGAAGCAGAAGCAAGAATTGAACACATAGACGACATAGAAGATAATTAACCCAGCAAAAAACAAATCGAGGAAATCATAAAAAATCTGAAAAACAACAAATCCCCTGGAAGTGATAACATAACAGCAGAGATGACGAAATATGGTGGAAAACTGCTAAATAATTGGATATGCAAGATCATAAAAGAGATATGGATAAAAGAACGAATACCAGAAGATTGGAAGGAAGCCATTATTTGTCCATTACACAAAAAAGGAGACAAAACAGAATGCAGTAATTACAGAGGAGTAGCGTTACTAAATACCATATATAAAATCCTATCAAAATCGATAAAAGATAAGCTGGAAAAAGAAGCTGAAAATATAATAGGCGAATACCAGTGTGGATTTAGACGAGGGAGAAGCACAACGGACCAAGTATTCATAATAAGAGAGTTACAAGCAGAAAGCTATGAACACAACTTACCAACGATAGCGCTATTCATCGACTTCCAGCAAGCATACGACAGAATAAAAAGAAAGGAATTAAAAGAGACCCTTGAGGAACTGGGAGTTAGCAGAAAGTTGAGTAACATGATACATGTTACTTTAGAGAATACAGAAAACAGAGTCAAAGTCAACAATCATGCATCGGACAAATTTATAGTAAACGAAGGATTAAGGCAGGGCGATCCTTTGTCATCATTACTCTTCAATTTATGCCTAGAAAAAATAATGCGAGAAGCGGGAATTAATAGAGAAGGACTCCTATATCATAAAAGACACCAAGTTTTGGCATTTGCGGATGATATAGTGTTGCTGGCAAGAGGAAAAAAAGAGCTACAGGAGATAGTACAGAGAATAGTAAAAGCAGCAAAGAAAATGGGACTTTACATAAATGAAACTAAAACAAAATGTATGCAGTGGACAGATGATCAGTTTAGGATGGACAAAAGTTTAAAGTAGAAGTAGAAGAAAGAGTATCATACGAATTCGAAATGGTGGAAAGATTTACATACCAAGGTACAATAATATCACGTAAACCTAACATTAAAGAAGAAATACAAGCTAGAATAATGGCAGGCAATAGAAGTGTGCATGCTCTTAGTGGAATGTTGAAAAGCAAGTTTTTATCAAGAAAGGCAAAAATACAGTTATACAAAACAACTATACAACC